TCTACCGGCCCCGCCGCCGTCCCATCGCGGCCCCGCCGTCACCACCGAGCCGCCGGCACCGCCGAGCTACAGCCGAGCCGCCCGAGCCACCCGAGCCGCCCGAGCCGCCGCGCCACCTGAGCCGCCCGAGCCGCCGGGTCGCCGAGCTGCCGAGCCGCCGTACCGCTGAGCCGCCGGAGCCGCCAGAGCTGCCGAGTCCCCGAGCCGCAGTTGCTGCCAAGCCGCCGTACCGCCGAGTCGCCCGAGCCGCCAGAGTCAGAATATGTTGTTTGTGTAGCTTGCAGTGGGGCACTCAATAGTGCATACAGCCCCTTAGGGTTTGTTATTTGTACCCTGATGATTGCTAGTTCCATCATTCCTTCTCAATTCTATTCATGCACAAAATCCTAGCTTGCCCTTGGCGCCTCCTCATTCTAGTCCTACTGTGGCCTAGGCTACTAAGCCTAGGCCGTACTACTACTATCTTTGACAGCAAGAGCCGCTGAGTCGCCGAGCTGCTTTTCCTGCCGAGCCGCCGAGCCGCCGAGCCGCCGAGCCGCCCGAGCCGCCCTGTCCGGTAAGAGCAGCGCCTCTATCACTGCACTGCCCTTACCCTACTGTTCGCGCTGCTAGTCTACTACTGTCATGGCTACCCCTAGTGTCCTCGCTTTTGACGCTCAGGGTCGGGCCATTGACTTTGACGTCTGGGTAGATGACCTGCAGCTTTTCCTACAGTGCGATAGGGCAGACGGTCTCTCCCTCTTTGACCTCACTTCTGGTGCCTCTCCTGCCCCTGCTGCTGATGCTGACGCCACTGTTTGCTCACAGTGGGTCACACGCGATGCTGCTGCACGTCTTGCTGTGCGTCGCCACCTGCCTACCTCTGAGCATGCGCACTTTAGCCAGTTGAAGAGTGCTCAGACCTTGTACGACGCTGTAGTTGCACGCTACTCCTCCCCTGCCACTGCTGCACTGAGCCGCCTCATGATACCGTACTTCTTCGCTGACCTTGCTGCCTTTCCCACAGTCACTGACCTCATTACGCACCTCCGCACTAGTGACACTCGCTACCGCGCTGCGCTTCTTGCTGAGTTCTGCGCCAAGAACCCCCCCCCCCCCCCCCATGTACATCACCCTCTACTACATAGTCACCCGGCTCCCTGACTCTCTCCGCGTAGTCAGGGACCACTTCCTCTCAGTTTGCCCCACCACTCTCACCGTTGACCTCCTCGAGAAGGCCCTCCTAGCGGCAGAGAAGAGCATAGTCGCTGTAGGAGCCTCTCGTGGTGACCCTCGCACCCCCGTCTTTGAGGGGTGTTCCCCCTTCCCCCTTTTGCCCTCTGTCGCCTCTGCTGCTACGGCCGACCTCGTTGGTTTCGAGTCGGTCGGCGTTGCGTCTGCCCCGAGCGGGAGACGCCGCACCGGCAAGGGCAAGGGGGGCAAGGGCGATGGAGGGGCTGGCGGGGGTGGCAGAGGTGGCGGTGGCGGCAATGGAGGGGGTGGGGGTGGTGGTGGGAGTGGTAGCGGGGGTGGAGGTGTTGGTGGCGGCAGTGGAGGTGGAGGCGGAGGCGGCGGTGGCGGTGGGGGCGGAGGTGGCGGAGGTGGCGGCGGAGGAGGAGGCGGCGGCGGAGGAGGCGGAGCTGGTCGGGGTGGCGCTGCGCAGAGGGTCGGCTCTGGTGGTGGTCAGCGCCAGCAGCAGCAGCGCACTCGTGACATCCACCCCCCCTCAGCAGCTCCGTGAGTGGTACGCTGCACGCCAGCGGGGTGGGGGTACTGGTCCGTGCACCTACGTCCTACGCACCGGCGACCGCGCGGGTGAGCAGTGCGGGGGTGCGCACTCCACCCAGCGCTGCTTTGGCCGCCTGACGGACGCTTGGCGTCACCAGTTCCCTGAGGCCACTGAGATCCCTCGCTGGGCCGAGCTGTCTAGGGCGGGAGTAGCTATCTTTGACCTTGACTTTGATGCTATTCTTGCTGCCATGTATGCTGTGACTATTAGTGATGAGGGTGACTGTTACAGGTGTTTTCCGCCCGACCCGGGCATTGAGACTACTGCTCTAGGTACTGGTGAGGCTGCTGCTCTAGGTGCTAGCGAGGCTGTTGCTCTAGGTGCCAGTGCGTCTGCTTCCTCAGGTGCTGGTGAGTCTGCTTTACAGGTACCGAGTCGGCTTCGGCCTCCCACACCTTCACCCTTGACTCGGGGGCTTCTCGCTCCTTCTTTCGAGACCGCACCACACTCATGCCGCTTGGTCGGCCAGTTGCGGTCTCTCTGGCAGACCCCTCTGGGGGTCCTGTCCTTGCTCACTTCTCCACTGTCCTCCCGTGTCCGGCGGCCCCCTCTGGCACCCTGTTTGGTCTTTACCTCCCCTCGTTCTCTACAAACTTAGTGAGTGGTGCTGACCTACAGGATGCGGGGGTTCAACAGTTCACTCCTGCGAGTCAGCGGATGACCCACTGCACGGACGCTCGGACAGGCCGACACCTGGCCACGTTTACACGTCGGCCGGGGTCGAGCCTGTACACACTGACCACTGAGTCTCCTCCTGTCACTACGTCTAGTCAGGTAGCTGCGTCGGGTCAGGTGTTTGCTGCAGCGTCCAGGTCTGGTCCTGAGTCTGCCCCCTGCTCGTGTCGCCTCCTGTCTCACGAGACTCTCCTCTGGCACCACCGCCTTGGTCACCCCTCCCTGCTTTGTCTCCAAGGCATGGCCTCCCGTGTCCTTGTCTCTGGTCTTCCCCGGTCCCTCCCTCCCCTTCCCCCGGGGCCTGCCCCTGTCTGCGTCCCCTGCGTCGAGGGGCGGCAGCGTGCTGCCCCTCACTCCTCCCAGTTTCCTCCGACAGAGGCCCCGCTGCAGACGCTTCACATGGACGTGTGGGGCCCGGCCCGTGTCCGTGGACAGGGTCACGAGCGCTACTTCCTGCTGATGGTTGATGACTACTCGCGTTACACCACAGTCTTCCCCTTGCGCAGCAAGGGTGATGTCACTGAGGTGTTGATTGACTGGATCCGCGTAGCTCGTCTCCAGCTCAGGCAGAGCTTCGGCTCGGACTTTCCTGTTCTGCGTCTGCACTCTGACAGAGGCGGAGAGTTCTCCTCTGGCCTTCTGCGAGCCTACTGTCGTGCACGAGGCATCCGCCAGACCTTCACGCTTCCGGACTCTCCACAGCAAAATGGGATTGTTGAGCGCCGCATTGGCATGGTCATGGACGTCGCCCGTGCGTCCATGATGCATGCGGCTGCCCCCCATTTTCTGTGGCCGTTTGCGGTTCGGTACGCGGCGCATCAGATCAACCTTCAGCCCACGGTCTCCATGCCGGAGACCTCCCCAGCTTTGCTGTGGACGGGGAAGGTTGGCGATGCGTCTGCTGTGAAAATAAGCAGTAGGATTAGGAGCCATAGCTAGGAGAGTCCTAGCTAGGCAAGAGACGGTTTAGGCAAAAGAGGGGGTTGCACTACCAAGAATGAGGATACAAATAGCAAACCCTAGAAGGGTTGTACTCGCTATAGAGCATCCCACTACAGGCTAGAGCATAACATTCTGACACACCCCCATAGCCAATGTGGGGTGTAATCAGCACAGTGAGAAAGCAGGTATAGAGCAGGAGATTACACAGATAAGCAAAGCTAGAGCTAATCACAGCGGACAAGTGAGGAGGAGGAGGAGCTGTGGGGGAGAGAAGATGGGAGGCGACTGCTGACGCTGCAGATGTCAAACATTATATGTGTTGTTGTAGTTGTTTAGGCTACAGTGGGTTAGCCTATAGGGGGTACACATTCCTAGGTTTTGATACTTGTACTCATTTCACTCTTAGTTCATTCATTTCTTGTTCAACATGGTATAGAGCAGGTCCTTCCTAGGACCGATTTTTTTAGGGCCCACCACTACCTACCTACCTACCTGCGCCCTAGGGCGCCTCGGCTTTCACGCCCCTAGAGGCCCCGTCGGCCCCGCGCTCTCGCACCTAGAGGCCTTCGGTCGGCCCCGCGCTCGCTTTTAGAGGCCCCGAATCGGCCCCGCGCTTACCCCTAGAGGCCCGCGTCGGCCCCGCGCTCGTCCTTACTGGCCCCGATAGGCCCCGCGCTCGCCCTTAAAGGCCCACGTCGGCCCCGCGCTCGTCCCTTATGGCCCCGATCGGCCCCGCGCTCGTCCCTCACGGCCCCGATAGGCCCCGCGCTCGCCCTTAGCACCCACGTCGGCCCCGTGCTCGCCCTTAGCACCCACGTCGGCCCCGCGCTCGTCCCTCATGGCCCCACCCGCTCCCCGCGCTCGCCCTTAGCGGCCCCGAACGGCCCCACCCAGACCGAGTAGCCCGGACCGAGCCGACCCGAGCCGCCCAGCCCTAACGGAACCGAGCCGCCCGACCCGAGCCGCCAGCCCTAACCGACCCGAGCCGCCCGAGCCGCGCCGCCCGAACCGAGCCGCCTGACCCGAGCCGCGCCGCCCGACCCGAGCCGCCCGAACCGAGCCGCGCCGCCCGACCCGAGCCGCGCCGCCCTACCTATACCGAGCCGCGCCACCCTACCTGTACCGAGCCGCACCGCCCTACCTACCCTACTGCTCCTACTGCTTTTCCTACTGCTGCTACCATGGCTAGCCCTCCTGTCCTAGCCTTCGATACTGAGGGCCGCCCAGTGAAGTTCGACACCTGGCTTGATGACCTACACCTCTTCCTACAGCTCAATGCCAAGGAAGACATCTCACTGTACGATCATGCCTTAGGCCACGCTACTACTCCTGCTGCTACTGCTGACAGCACTGCCCGCTCACAGTGGCAGACTCGTGACGCCCATACTCGCTTCGCTATTCGCAACTCTCTGCCGATAGATGAGCGCGAGCACTTTGGGCAGCACAAGACTGCACAGGCACTGTACACTGCTGTCATTGCCCGCTACTCCTCGCCGGCCTCTGCCGCTCTAGGCCGTCTCTCTCTTCCCTACCTGTGTCCGACCTAGCTTCCTTCCACACTGTCGCTGATCTCATTACCCACCTCCGCACTAGTGAGGCTTGCTTCCGCGCCGCTATGCCTGATGAGTTCCTTGCCAAGAACCCACCCCCGCTCTGGCTCACTCTCTACCACCTAGTCACGCGCCTCCCTGACACTCTGCGCTCAGACAGGGACCACTTCCTAGCTCGCTGCCCCACCGAGCTCACCATTGCCCTCCTCGAGAAGGAACTGCTTGCAGCTGAGGCTAGCATAGTCGCTGTAGGTGCCTCTCGCGGTGACCCCCGTACCCCGTTCTTTGAGGGGTGTTCTCCCTCCCCCCTTCTTCCCTCTGTCGCCTTTGCTGCTGCTGTCGACCTCCTTGGTGCTGAGAAGGTCGCGACTGCGTCTGCTTCGAGTGGGCGCCGCAGCGGCAAGGGCAAGGGGGGCAAGGGCGGTGGTGGTGACAGCGGGGGTGGCGGTGGTGGGGGAGGTGGTGGTTGCGGGGGGGGTGGCGCGGGTGGGGGAGGTGGCAGCAATGGGGGGGGTGGCGGCAGCGGCGGGGGAGGTGGCCGGGGCGGAGGAGGTGGTGGGGGTGGCGGTGGACGAGGCAGCGGCCGGGGTTGGGGTGGTCGAGGAGGTGGTAGCGGCGGTGGTGGTCGTGGAGGCGCTGGCGGTGGCCAGGGCCAGCAGCACACTCCGTCGCCCGAGGAGGTCCGTGAGTGGTACTCTCAGCACAGGGGGGGGGGGGGGGGGTGGCCTTAGCTGCACGTACGTCATTCGCACTGGTGACCGCACTGGCCAGCCGTGTGGGGGACCACACGCCACACAGCGTTGCTTCGCTCGTCTGAACGACGCTTGGCGTGTTCAGTTCCCTCAGGCCACTGAGCTGCCCCGCTGGGTTGATCTCCTGAAGAAGGGGATTGATATCTATGCTCTAGACTTTGATGCTATTCTCACTGCCATGTATGTGATGTCTACTAGTGGAGAGGGTGCTGAGTCCTGAGTGTCCCGCCCGACCCGGGCATTAGGACTAGTGCGTCTGCCGCTCCAGGTACTCGCGTGTCCGCTACCCCAGGTGCTGGTGAGGCTGCTGCTCTAGGTGCGTGTACGTCTGCCCCCCCTAGTACTGTGTCGACTGCAGCACTGCACACCTTCACACTGGATTCAGGTGCCTCTCGCTGTTTCTTTCGTGACCGCACTGCCCTTGAGCCCCTTGCTCGGCCAGTTGCTGTCTCCCTCGCTGACCCCTCTGGGGGTCCGGTCCTTGCGACCTCCTCCACTGTCCTTCCCTGTCATGCGGTCCCGTCGGGCACACTGTCAGGTCTCCACCTCCCCTCGTTCTCTACGAACTTGGTGGCAGGTTGTGCACTACAGGACGCGGGTGTTCACCAGTTCACCCCTGCCGACCAGCGTGTCACACACTGCACGTGTGCCCGTACAGGCCGCCACTTGGCTACCTTCACCCGGCAGCCGGGGTCGGATCTGTACACACTGACTACTGCCCCCCCTCAGGTCGTTGCGTCTGCGTCTGCGTCCGCGTCAGGTCAGCTGTCCGCCCCCTGCTCGTGTCGCTCTCTAGCGCACGAGACTGTCCTCTGGCACCACCGTCTGGGCCACCCGTCTGTGCAGCGCCTTCGTGCCATGCACTCCCGGTACCTTGTCTCTGGTCTTCCCAGGGTCCTCCCTCCCCTCCCACCCTCGCCTGCTCCTCCCTGTCTTCCCTGTGTCGAGGGGCGGCAGCGCGCCGCTCCTCACTCCTCCTCGTTTCCCCCGACGACTGGTCCTTTGCAGACGCTCCACATGGACGTGTGGGGCCCAGCCCGCGTCCGTGGTCAGGGTCAGGAGAGGTACTTCCTGATTGTTGTTGACGACTACTCGCGCTACACCACGGTCTTCCCCTTGCGAGCCAAGGGTGAGGTCCCTGATGTTTTGATCCCTTGGATCCGCAGAGCTCGTCTCCAGCTCAGCGAGCGTTTCCGCTCGGACTTTCCTGTCCTGCGCTTGCACTCTGACAGAGGTGGTGAGTTCTCCTCCGACCTCTTGGCAGCCTACTGTGCCGAGCACGGCATTCACCAGTCGTCCACGCTTCCGGCCTCTCCACAGCAGAATGGGGTTGCGGAGCGCCGCATTGGACTGGTCATGGAGGTCGCTCGTACCTCCTTGATCCATGCGGCTGCCCCCCACTTTCTGTGGCCGTTTGCGGTCCGGTACGCTGCGCATCAGCTCAACCTCTGGCCCCGTGTCTCCTTGCCGGAGACCTCGCCCACACTGCTGTGGACGGGGGAGGTTGGCGATGCGTCATGTTTCCGAGTCTGGGGATCTCGAGCTTTTGTCCGCGATTCGTCTGCGGACAAGCTCTCCTCTCGTGCTGTTCCCTGCGTCTTCCTCGGCTTTGTTTCGGACGCGCCTTGTTGGCAGTTTTACCACGCCACCTCGCGCCGGGTCTTGCCCTCTCAGGACGTCACTTTTGACGAGTCTGTCCCCTACTACCGCCTCTTTCCCTACCGCACTGCCCCGCTCCCACCCCCGCCTCTCTTCCTCGCGCCAGGTGCTGCTGTCGTAGACCCCCTCCCCCCTCAGGGTGCCGCTCCCTCAGGTGTGTCTCAGGTAGACCTGGTCGAGCCTGTTGAGGTTGCTGTCGACTCTCGTCCTGCTGGGGGTGCTGAGCCTGGGGGTGCGGAGGCTCGGGGTGCTGAGCCTGGGGGTGCTGACTCTGGGGGTGCTGAGCCAGGGGGTGCGGACTCTGGGGGTGCTGAGCCTGGGGGTGCGGACACTGGGGGTACTGAGCCTGGGGGTGCTGAGCCTGGGGGTGCGATGACTGGGGGTGCTGAGCCTTGCGGTGCTGGGCCTGAGGGTGCTACACCTGGACGCGACCTCTCCTCGGAGCAGTTGCGTGAGTGGTACTTACAGTACTGCAGCCTCCGGAGTGTTACCTCTGGGACCAGGCGCACTATAGGGACTGGGGCTGGTACTTCTCCTCCTACTCGGGAGCTCCCCTCTCGTGAGCGGATCCATGAGTGGTACGAGCACCGTTGCACACTTCGGAGTGGTGCGCCTCGTCTCACGGACCCGGCTGCCCCTGGTGCTACGGACCCGGGCGTTAAAGCTGCTGCTGGTGCAGCGGACCCTGGCGTTGGAGCTGCTGCTGGTGCTGCGGACCCGAGGGTTGGAGGTGCTGCTGGTGCTGAGGACCCGGGCGTTGGGGCTGCGGCTGGTGCTGCGGACCCTGGCGTTGGAGCTGCGACTGGTGCTGTGGACCCTGGTGTCGAAGTCCCTGCTGGTGCTGAGGACCCGGGCGTTGGAGCTGCGGCAGGTGCTGTGGACCCTGGTGTTGGAGCCACTGCTGGTGCTTAGGACTCGGGCGTTGGTGCTGAGGCTAGTACTGAGGACCTGGGCGTTGGAGCTGCTACTGGTTCTGGTACTGCCGATGGGGGTACAGGTGTTGTCCCTGCTGTGTCTGGAGTCGCCGCGCGCCCTCAGCCGTACTTCGTTCCGCTCCTTCAGCAGGTTCTTGGTCTCTCGCCTCCTCTTGGTCCTCCTCCCTTAGCGTGTTCACAGCCTGTCCCGTCAAAGTTACAGTTGCAGCCGGCCTCCCCACTACCTGCTCCTTCTCCTTACACTGGTCCTACTGGCGGTCTTACTGAGCGTCGTGAGTCTGCGTCTCGTCCTGCGTCGCCTGTCCGTCCTGCTAGTGCTAGTGCTCGTAGTTCGCGCCAGCGTCCTCCTCCTGCCCCTGGCACGCACCGGATGTCTCTACGTCCGTCTACTGCTCCTCTGCGTGCCCCTTTGCCTTCTCCTCCTTCGTCCTCTCTTCCTGCTCTCGTCGACCCTGAGTCGGACTCTCTTCGTGCTGCCAGTCCTACTGTCACGCGTCTCCTTGCTACTGTTGTCACTGACCCTTCTTTCGAGTCTACTGCTGCGTCTGCTCTCGTTACTGAGCTCGTCGACTTTGCTGCTCGCTGTCGCTTAGACTACGCTGCTAGTCTTGTCGCTGAGTCTGAGTCTGTCTGTCCTCCGTCCGTCGGGGGTGAGTGTGCCCTTGGCACGGACTTCCTTGAGGACAGGCAGGAGGAGTTCCAGTGTCTGGCAGCTGCTTCACCTCATCTCGTGTCCGTACTGCTTACCCCTGAGGGAGACCCGGATGCACTTGACATCCCGACTCCGCGCTCTTACGCGGAGGCGATAGAGGGTCCCTACTCCTCTCAGTGGCAGGCAGCTATGGATGCAGAGATGGCTTCCTGGAAGTCCATAGGCACCTACGTTGACGCTGTCCCCCCTCCTTGGGCGAACATCGACAGTGGCATGTGGATCTTCAGGGTGAAGCGGCCGCCGGGTTCTCCGCCTGTCTTCAAGGCGCGTTACAGGGCTCGTGGCTTCAGTCAGCGACAGGGAGTTGACTACTTTCAGACCTTCTCCCCCACCCCGAAGATGACCACTCTTCGGGTACTGCTGCACGTTGCTGCTCACCGGGACTACGAGCTGCACTCTCTCGACTTCAGCACAGCTTTCCTGCAAGGCAGCCTGCACGAGGAGATCTGGCTGCGTCGCCCACCTGGCTTCACTGGGTCTTTCCCTCCTGGTACCCAGTGGAGTCTCCGGCGTCCAGTCTACGGTCTCCGCCAGGCGCCACGTGAGTGGCACGACACACTGAGGACTACGCTTGCGGCTCTTGGGTTCGCTGCGTCTACTGCCGACCTGTCGCTGTTTTTGCGCACCGACATCTCTCTGCCGCCGTTCTACATCCTCGTGTACGTCGACGACTTGGTCTTTGCCACAGCTGACACTACTGGACTCGCCTACGTGAAGTCCGAGCTGCAGAAGAGACACACGTGCACTGACCTGGGTGAACTGCGCAGCTACCTTGGCTTGCAGATCACCCGGGACAGAGCACGCCGCACCATTACCCTGACTCAGTCACACATGGTGCAGCAGGTCCTTCAGCGCTTCGGCTTCACGTACTCCTCGCCTCAAGCCACTCCTCTGTCTACTCGCCACTCGCTCTCAGCTTTGCCTTCGGATGAGTCCGTAGAGTCAGGTGGCTCGTACCCAGAGCTTGTTGGCTGTCTCATGTACCTGATGACCTGCACACGACCTGACCTTGCATACCCTCTGAGCATTCTTGCACGCTATGTTGCTCCTGGGAGACACCGACCAGAGCACATGGCTGCAGCGAAGAGGGTGTTGCGCTACTTGTGCAGTATGTCGGGCATGGGGCTAGTGCTTGGAGGGCGGAGTCCAGTGGTCCTCACTGGACACGTAGACGCTTCTTGGGCTGACGACCAGGCTACGCAGCGGTCGTCCCAGGGTTACACCTTCAGCCTTGGTTCCGGCTCTATTTCATGGTGGGCTACTCGCTCGTCTTCTGTTCTTGGCTCCAGTTGTGAGGCTGAGATCTACGCAGGGGCCATGGCTGCTCAGGAGCTTCGCTGGCTCACCTACCTGCTGACCGACCTTGGAGAGCCGCCTCATTCTCCTCCAGTCCTGTACGTTGACAACAAGGCCATGCTGGCCTTGTGTCGGGAGCAGAGACTGGAGCACAGAACAAAGCACATTGCTCTCCGCTACTTCCTTGCTCGTGAGCTACAGCAGCGTGGTCAGTTGCGACTTGCGTACGTGGCCTCTGAGGCCAACACTGCTGATGTCTTCACCAAGGCACTTCCGCCTTGTGATCATCAGCGCTGCTGTACCCAGCTGGGTCTTGTGTCTGTCTTGCCTCACTTGCTCTCCTCTTGACCCTCTTTGTACTGTTACATATATATATCGCTGCTCTTGCTTGTTTAGTCTTATATATATCTGTACTCCTGCATGTGAACTGGCCTTGTGGCCTGGCACTTGTGCTCGGATTGTGTGGTGACGTTGTGATCCACCCTGAGCTTGCTTTGTTTTGCTTTACTTGACTGGTCTTGTGACCCCTAGTTCTCCCCCACTTCGCCTATGGGGGTGTGTCAAACATTATATATGTTGTTGTAGTTGTTCAGGCTATAGTGGGTTAGCCTATAGGGGGTACACATTCCTAGGTTTTGATACTTGTACTCATTTCACTCTTAGTTCATTCATTTCTTGTTCAACAGCAGACACACAGACGAGCTGCTGGCTTCGTGGCTACCGGAATAGCGCTCCGGACTACTGGAGTAACTGGCCCCGCGGCTAAAAGTAGCGGCAGACGAGCAACGGACTTACGGGCGACTAGCGATTACCGGAGATTGTAGCCTCCGGACTGCTGCTGTTGCTGACGACAAGACTGCTACCTCCACTCAACCACCCCCAACTGCCCAACACTCTCGGCACACGCCTACTGCTCAAACCCTAGCTCCACTCCCACGCACCCCCCTTAAACCCTAAACCCCAGTCTCCCACTCATTCACCCCCCTCAGCGATAGCTGCAGCAGTGGGAGACGAAGGAGGAGGAGGAGCAAAGGGAGGAATGCACAACTGCCACCCCCATACCCGCCACCCCCACACTCCTTACCCCAAACCCTAATGGAGGGAGGAGCGTGGGAAGTAGGAGGGGCGGGTCACGAAAGGAAAGGGAGTTAGCAGGGGGTAACCAGGGCGCCACGAAGAAGCAGAGCGCGGCCCACGAGGGCGCCTCGACGGGCGACGAGAGGGGCCGCGCGCAGGCCCCGAAGGCGCCGCGTCAAGGCAACGGTTGGGGCCGGCGCGCGGGCCCCCAAAGCGCCGCGACGAGGCGACGAGAGGGGCCGGCTCGCGGGCCCCCAAAGCGCCGCGACAAGGCGACGAAAGGGGCCTGCGCACAGGCCCCCAAGGCTCCGCGACGAAGTGACGGGAGGGGCCGGCGCGCGGGCCCCCAGGGCGCCGCGACGAGGAGAAAACCGCCGCGCGCCTCGGGGCGTACGGCGGGCAGAAAACCGCCGCGCAACCCGAGCGCGCGGCGGGATGAAAAATAAGAGGTCTCGCGCCACGGGGCGCGCGACACAACGTAGGGCAGCGGAAGCAGTAGTGGGGCCCACAGGCGAGGAGCATGTGTGCTCTGATACCATGTGAAAATAAGCAGTAGGATTAGGAGCCATACCTAGGAGAGTCCTAGCTAGGCAAGAGACGGTTTAGGCAAAAGAGGGGGTTGCACTAGCAAGAATGAGGATACAAATAGCAAACCCTAGAAGGGTTGTACTCGCTATAGAGCACCCCACTACAGGCTAGAGCATAACATTCTTACATCTGCGTTCCGTGTCTGGGGATCTCGGGCGTTTGTCCGCGACTTGTCTGCGGACAAGCTGTCCCCTCGTGCTGCTCCTTGCGTCTTCCTTGGCTTCCCCCCTGACGCGCCAGGGTGGCAGTTCTACCACCCCACCTCTCGTCGTGTTCTGTCCTCCCAGGACGTCACGTTTGACGAGTCGGTCCCCTACTACCGCCTCTTCCCCTACCGCACTCTGTCCCTCCCCCCGCCACCGCTCTTCCTTGTGCCAGGTCCCCCCCCGGTAGACCCCCTCCCCCCTCAGGGCCCTGCCTCTTCAGGTGTGTCCCAGGTAGACGCAGTCGAGCCTGTCGAGGTTACTGGTGACTCTGGTGCTGATGAGGGTGCTAAGCCTGGGGGTGCTGACTCTGGGGGTGCTAAGCGTATGGGTGCTATGCCTTGGGGTGCTAAGCCTGAGGGTGCTACTACTGGGGGTGCTGAGCCTGGGGGTGCTGGGCCTGAGGGTGCTACCACTGAGGGTGCTGAGCCTAGAGGTGCTAAGCCTGGGGGTGCTACGCCTGGGGGTGCTGAGCGTGGGGGTGCTACGCCTGGAGGTGCTGAGCCTGGGGGTGCGGAGCCTGAGGGAGCTGGGCCTGCTCGTGTGGCGTCTGGCGGTGCTGGGCCTGGAGGTTCTCCGGGTGCTTCATCTCGGCGGGAGCCACTCTCTCCACACGAGCTGCGCGAGTGGTATGCCCGGCGCTGGAGGCTTGCTGCTGGAGCTGGAGGTTCTTCGGCTGCTGAGGGTGCTGGTGCCGCGGGTC